TTCCTACAAAAATGAAAAAAAATAAATAAATCAGGCAGCAGTGATGGTGGTTTGTTTAAACATGCTTTTTCCCCGACCTCATAAATGCAATCTTTGAAGGCTTCAGATTTGCTCCACTGACCCTTTTTCATCGTTACACATTGCTTTTGAGTAAATATACCCTCCGTTTTGTTCTTTTGGTAGTTGGCTCATTCAATGCTTTGTTTTCATGCACGCCCGGCCCGACCCGACCAGGTCCGGCCCATTAACTCTTGCACATCTTAATTTGCTTCTCATATATATATATGGGCCGTGAGTACTCCCATGTTCTGATCAGACATTCCTCCACAAAAATCCCATTCTTGATTAATCACTTTTCCTCATATTATTCCCCTCTTGCTCTCCCAACACTTTGATTTTCTTTAATTCTATTTGTTGTTATTATTATTATTATTATTTATTTATTTTTTTGTATTGTTTTCTCGTATAGGCCAGGTGTTGGATATCCGGCGTTTGGCGTGGAGGATAACTATAATCATACGGGATATTGGTGCGGTTCAATTAAAAAGCCGTGCTCGTGGGATAATTCGGAGCTCGGTTTGTTTGATTGAGCCGTGCCAATATCACGTATTTGCACTGACCCGTGATATATGCTCAAATGGGGTCGTATATGCAAGTCAAATTAATGAAACAGGTTCAATATTTCATTATTCCCTTTTCTTTTTAAGGATTATTGCTAGTTTAATTTTATATATGTGTGCATATATATATATGGTGTAATTAACTAATATACAAAACTGTACTTGTTCTCTGCAGCCAAGGTGGTTATGTTTGTGAAGGATATTTACTAAGGTTTTGTAGGTTTGACCACATTAGGACAAACCATTTTTTATTTTTTATTTTTTTATTATTATTGGAAGAAAATGGATTTTTACCTCAAAAACCTAGTGCAGCTAGCCATCAAGATTTTGGAGTAGATTTTACCATGCTAATGATAACTGACATATTTTATCAAGTTTGTATTCATTTACTTATAAAATATCTGTTTGGATGTTAAGTCTCTGTCTTGATATATTATACATTTGGCTACTTGGATAAATACAGGTGTTCTTTTTCAAAATGCTGACTTTTTCAAATGGATTATATAGGAATTAGGAAGATTGTGATTCAAAACATAGTGTACAATTGATTATATATTATTAATAAAAAAATTATACACAGTGTATTTATTTGTATATGTATATATGTTTTGGCTATCACATTAAATTTAAGCATGGCTTGTGCTTGTTTTGCTTTCATCTAGTAAATGTCGCGTGTTATTTGATTGTTATTGTTCCCTATTTGATTGAACGACATTGTATGGAGGCTTAGGCACATACTATGATTTTTGGCTGAAGCAATAAATTAATTAATTAATAAAACTATATATAGGCTGACAAGATCGCGGAGCTATTTGTAGGCACTTGTGTTTTTTCGTTTTCAAACATTTCTGTGTGAGACAGTCTAATAGTTAATCTAATCACCCTCTCATACTCTTTGAATAAAAACGTATTTTCATACTATTTTGATTATTTTATTTTTTAAAGTATGACATCATCTAATAAATATGCATATTTGTAAAAAAGAATATATCTGCGTAGAGGATAAGCTGCATGCTTAAAACAAGACCTAGTATGGCTCGGTCCTTTACGGTCAAACTTGTTTAACCCAACCTTGACTCAGTTGGCTCGTGCATTGACTCGGTTGTGTCAACCTATATGACCTAATCATTTTATATTTTTTATATTTGTTTTTTTCTTATTTTTTTTTCAAAAGAAATACGTGGTAAGTATACATTGATAATTATATATGAGCGAGATACATTACTACTATGATTTTGATGCACAAAATTTATATAACTATATTATTTTTTATTATTTTTATATTATAATATATAAAATAGTAGATATATAGTTTTTTGTTTTTTTTTAATTACNTAAATAGACCTTTATATGGGCATGGAACATGAAACAAATAAAAATACAAAGTTAGAAAAATATCCTCATCGCGTGCAAAAAACGAGGCTCCACATGTTATGAAACATCATCATCATGCCCCAAGTATTTATAACTAATTTTTTTCAGTCTCAACATTAATTTGCACACTGTGTACCCATCATATGAGACACAATTAGAAGATACACTTTTCTTTAGAAGTTGAGTTTAAAGACGAGAGTGCCTTTATTATGGTTCAAAGGAAAATAAAATAATAATAATCAGAAAAATAAAATGAGGACCATTTTCTTGTGTGCAATTATAGTCATTCAAAAGTTCATAGCACACTCAGAGCGTCAATTTTGTTTCTACTTTTTCACCAATGTAACAGGAACCGATTTTCTATTAAAAGGTAACATGAAATAATAATTAGAGAGAAAAATTCCGTCTCGCGACAAAAACCCTTCCCCCAAATCCGAGAGGCTCTTCCAAAATCCGACCAACTGGCCTTCCCTGGTGACGGCGTAGTACCGGCCAGAGGTCATCGTGGACCGCCCCTCCACCCCTTTGACGGCATGCGACTCCGACGCCCCACGGATGGCCGGATTTGGAGACCTGGCTATCGATTGCAGATGGGATCTTGAGTGGCGGTAAAGTCCTTTCCGGTCGGATTTTCGTCTGCGATTGGGGTCCTCAGTCGCTGGTGGAGGTCCAACTTGTGGTGGTAAGTCTTTCGACACTCCTTGTCTTCGATTGATGTGCTCTGCTTTCGGGTGGAGTTCCGCCTCTCAGGTGGGGCTCGGCTTTCTGGTTGTTGGTGGTCTGTGGTGGTGTTGGTGGGAGTGTGAGTTAAGGGGCGGGGTGGGACTCCGGTGGCTGCGGCTGGTTTGTCGCGGTGGTCGGGGTTGAGGGTCCGTTCACTTTAACCTTCCCCGCTCTATCTAGTGGTGTTAGGTGGTGTGGTGCTGGTCTCTTTCGACCTCATCGAGTGGTGTTTGATGAGGGCTGGCTGGGTCGGTGTGGGGGGTGGGGGTTGGATGTGGCTTGCTCGGTTTGCGACGGGTCGATTCGGGAATTGGTTCGG